AAGATGGCTCCAAGTTTCGGAACGCACGCGAGCTTAAGATACACATCAGTGCAACAACCATTACAAGTCATCGACACACCCTTCACCCTCATAGAAGCACCATCGTAGCTTGCACCGATTTCCATCTTAAACTTCAACGCGGGAATGTATTCGTGCTCCTTGTTTTCCCAAAGACGGCTGCGCGACTGCATGCGTCCTGCCAACCCTGATTCACCAACTCTCCTGCTGATCGTTTCTGGATGGGCTGGTGGGGATACTTTTTCGGTCGCGTCCACCAGCGAAGGCGCTAGCGGAGTCAGGCGTGCTACAGGACACGACAGCGGCTTAATTAGCTACTAAACGCGCCGCAGGTTGGCCGGCCCACTCACCCAGCAGCGGCTGACTGCGCGGAGGAGACGGCGAGCTGAGGGCGTCCAGGGAAGCTCGGGCACTTGCAGCCCAGCAAAATGCTGGAAAATTCAAGTTGTGCCGTGAGGCAAGACCCACACGAAACACGAGGACGATTGCGGCAGGCTGCGTGTCCAACATGCCGTCTGGGCGTCCAGGGGTGGCAAGCGAGGGGCGAGTCGCCAGTGTGGCGCCAAGCCCAGGCTGGTGGGGATACGCGAAGTTTCAAGAATTGTTGTTGCTGTTGCTGTTGCTGTTGCTGTTGAGCTGTCGATACTGAAAAGTAATTATGGTTGGCCCCCCCATCCGGTGACCACTATATTTGTTGAATTGACATGCTTCCCCAGAGCTTCCCCCGGGACTCAAACCCTGTTTTTCTTTATACGGGACAACCACAAGGCTTAGCCTGTGTTGTCGGCCCCCGGTTTGCAACAACAGCGGCTCACGCCTGATACTTCCTCACAAAGTATTCCCACATCGCGTTCGCGCGCGAGACTTGCTTACCATTTGCATATGAATCGCGCTCTCGAGTGGGACTTCCCCGCAGGTTGCTCAGACGACGCGCCCTCGCTTTGGCTTTTCTCGCAATTTACTTGGGGATCGCGCTGCCGCTCGAGACTTCCTCGCGATTCATGCAGGGACCACGCTTCAGCAACCCGCCTGCTCGACCTGGTCGCCTGGGCCCGCCTTCCCGACCTGCCCGCTATGGGTCTGCCCACCCGATCCGACCGCTTGGTTCTACCACTTGTTTTCTGCTCCTTGCCCCCCTCATGCTAATTTCTCTCGTGCTCCATTATTCTCCCTCCCCCTTCCACCCGTCTTCTCTTTCTCTTGTTTTAGGGGCTGCATTAATTGCGCGTGGCAGGTAAGGAAGATATATCCCCAAGGGGGTACGATCGAAGACGACGAGGGTGGGCACCGAGGGTTTGGGATATACGTATTGGTAGGCACATGAGCAGATAGGAGCGAACAGTCTTGAAATGATTGGTGCTGGTGTTGTTGTTGAACTCTGATTACACACGAACTAATTCGTGTTGGTCCACCCTCCCCAGTAACCATTGCATGTTTTAAATTCGCCGGCCCAACGGGCCAGGGCGTGCTAAGATCTCCGGTAACTGGTTAACAGTATTAACAGTATTTCTAGTTCGCGCGCGCGGGGCGGCCCCTGGGGGTCCCCCGGCGAAAAGTACCCCGACCAACGCCCGACCGCCGCCCGACCGCCGCCCGACCAAGTCTACTCAGAGATGGTTTTCCTTCTGGGTGCGGCCTCTCAGGCTCCCCAGAGCGCGCTCAGAGTGCCCCAAGAGGCCCCCAAGACTGCCCAAGAGGCCCCCGAGACGCCCAAAGAGCGCTCGAAGACGCCGAAGATGACCCCAAGACGGCCCAAAAGGCCCCCAAGACAGCCCAAGAGGCCTCCAAGACGCCCCAAGAGCCTTCCAAGAGGCCTCCGAAGAGAGCCCCAAGAGGCCAAAATCGTTGATTTTCATTGGTTTTTTCTATGTTTTTTGTGTTCTGGCTTTTTCGGCTTCCGGACGCTCCAAGACGGCCCAAGAGGCCCCCAAGACCGCTCCAAGACGGCCCACGAAGCTCCCAAGACGGCGCCGAAACGACCCAAGAGAGCCCTCAAGACGGCCCAAGTGCCGCCCAAGACGGACCAAGAGGCCCCAAGACGGGCCCAAGAGGGACTCAGGAGGGATACCGAGAACTCAAAAATGGAGCCCTCCGTCCCAGAAGGCGCCCAGGAGGTCCCAAAGAGGCCCCAAGAGGCCTCCAAGAGGCCCCAAGATGTCGCCAAGAGGCCCCAGGAGACTCCCAGGAGGCCCAAAAGAAGCCCCAGAAGGCTTCAAACATGTCTCCCAGGCGCCCCCGAACGGCCTCTCAACAGACCCCAAGAGGCCCCCCAAAGAAGCATCTTGACGACGACTCTATTTCGCCCCATCGAGAGACGACCCCCAGGGAACTGCTTCACCATCAAAACTCCCCACGCAACGCGTCCGAACGACACCCGCCCCCAAGAGCGCAACATGGGCAACGAACACACAGACAAAAACCAGCGATGCCATATCACGGGCCGGCGGAATGAGCGAAGCGATTCAATAAGATACTGATCCCGGGGCTGGTACCCTGTTTTTGACAAAGGAATGTGAAGTGTCACCAAACTGTGTCGTTGGACCCCGGTTTACAAACGACAGCGGCTCCCGCTTGATGCTTCCTTACAAATCGCGTTCTCGCGCTTTCGTGCGGGAGTTCCTCAATGTATACAGGAATCGCGCTCTAGCGTGGGACTTCTGCACTTTCTGCAAACGCAGCGCCCTTGACACTCAGGAATCGCGCTCTCGCGATGGTTTTCCTTGCAAGTTGTTTGGGAATCGCTCGAGACTTCCTCGCGATTCGTGCAGGACGCGAGCTTCAGCAACTCGCCTGCCCGACCTGGCCGCCTGGGCCGCCTTCCCGACCCGCCCGTGAGGGTCTACCCGCCCGATCTGCCCGTCTGCTTCTGCCACGTGTTTGCTGCTCCTTGCCCCCCTCCTGCTACGCTCTCTCGTGCTCCATCCTCCTCCCCCTCCCACCCCCTTGTCCCTTCCTGCCATGCATCCTTTCTTCCCCTACCTCAGGGGCTGCGCGAAATACACGCTACAGATAAGGAAGATGTACCCCTGAGGTGGTACGATCGAAGACGAAGAGCGCATGTATCGATGGTTCGGGATATACGTGTTGGACGGCACGCGCGCAGGCAATAGCGATCCGTCTTAAAATGAATATGTGTGTTGGTGCTGCTGCTGCTGCTGTTGTTGTTGTTGTTGCTGTTGCTGTTGCTGTTGCTGTTGTTGTTGTTGTTGTTGTTGCTGTTGTTGAACATTATTAATTCTAAAGAATAATTATTGTTGGGGCCCCTGGTGCGCGCCCCCCCCCCCGCGCCTAGGCCGCAGCCGCATTTTCATCATTTTCGTGAGGAAGTCTCAGGCAAAACGTGGGTGTCCGGATCCGGTTGTTTTGTTGACGCCCGCTTTCCCTTGCAAAAAACACTATAAAATGAAATTTCTTGTTCTAACATAACCAAACTTCAAGAATCCTTTGAAAAAATGGCACGAAGTGCACACTCGCGCGCGCAAGATGAAATCCTTCCAAAACCTTAGTTTTCGTAGCGATTTTAACATAAAAACATGAAAACCCAATGGTTTTTCAAAAAAAAAAAAGTTTCAAACATTCATCTTGCGCGCTCTTGCGGATTTCTGAGGAAACCCACTATTTTTTCAACATTTCTGTCAAACGGGCTCTTGCGAGCAACTTTTTCACGTGCTTCGAACTTCTGCAACAACGGTTGCGCGCATGCCAGGGCCATCATCCCTGTCAAATAATACCATATTGGACACATTCGTTTTTTCTTCGCGCGCGCACGCCGTCGTCGTCGGCCGCGGGGCCCTGAATAGTAGCCACGGTCGTCCGCATGCCACGAAGTGAAGTGTCCGAACGTCATAGGGCGGGAAGCTGGGTGTGGGTGGTGGCGAAGAGTCGTATGGAAATTTGGTAGAGCTTGAACCGGCCCCCCCACAAAGTGGGGGTATTGCCCGCCTCCTATGAAAACCCTGGCACTGGTGAGAACGGAGTGTCCCCAGTCTTAAATGATTGTTGTTGTTGTTGTTGTTGTTGTTGTTGTTGTTGTTGTAGGGCTCCCATGCCGAATGACTAAATATCGTTGATCCCCCTTCTCCGGTAAGCATTGCATGCTCCAGTCAAAGTGCTCACCCCGGGGCTCGCACCCTGTGCTTTTTTTACAAGGGAGAGCGAAGCGTCACCAAGCTGCGCTGCTGGGCCCCGACGTACACCAACACGCCGACGGTGTGATTTTTGCCGGGTGCGGCGCTCTTGCTCGACGCCTGCCTCCCGGGGCCTCGGTCGGGGGGGGCCGGGCCCCAAGACCATCGAGAATGGATCCGTGATCTGGGGCAGAAGAGTGCGGCCAGGAGCTTTTGCGTGGCGTGTTGCGGCGGCGGCACTGGCGACATGTTGCGCGTCACCCAGCTCCGCGGGGCGGGGGGCTGGGCAGAGCTCAGGACGTTGGTGCTCAGACGTGGACGTGGCGTGCGGCGCCGAAGCGTGATGGACCAGCATTGGCGGCGCGACGTGCCGAGCCCAGACTCCCGACCGCACCCCTGAGGGAGTGGACGGGACTTCGGGGGCCGCGCATCGCATCAAAACACCGTCGGCTGCCTGGGATTCCCTCGGGCCTCGGCTGCAGGTGTTGGGGGCGTCCTCTGCCCTGTGCAGCTGTGCTCCTCCCCGCTGCACGCCTCTGGTAGGTAGAGACCTCCCAGACTGGGTCTGCGTAGATGGGGTCGGAGGATCGCGCCGCATCGCCGATGCATCGCCGATGCATCGGAGATGCATCGCCGTCGGCGATGCATCGGCGACGCCCGCGTGGAGAAATCGGGCTCCACATCGAGACGCATCGCCGATGCATTGGCGATGCGCCGCAATCCTCCGATCCCATCTGCTCCGATCCCATCTGGAAGGCTTAGAACTGGGCTGCTTCCCATATGTGTGTGGCCCACTGCCGGGGACTGCGGTCTGGCGATCGGGGGGGGCAACTCGGCGGCCCGCGCGGCGGTCTCCTTGATGGGGAAGCAGCCGTGCAGCTCCTTCGAAAAAGTACGATACGAGCGGGAGGCCGCCTTGCCGGCCCCGGCGGCGGCCTCGTCGTCCTCCTCGCCGCCGCCGATGTCGTTGTCGCGATCGTAGAAGTAGCGACGAATCTTGCGTCTCGTAGACGTCGACGCCATCGTCGTCGAAATCGAAGTGGTCGACACAACCTCGACAACGTCGTCGTCGTCCTCCTCATTCTCCTCCCGATCCTGCCTCCACATTCCCCCCCTGACTGCACGCCGGAAAGATACAACGGGCAATTCTTGTCAAAGCGGGGCCCTCGCCAAAGTGGCAGGCAAAACGGTGCTGGTGTTTCAGGGGGAGGACATGAAGGAGCGTGTGAGGAGGGGACTTGGGACGGGAGGGTGTACTGCAGCATTGCTTAAGTACGCATCTTTAGTTTACTCTGGATACCCTCATCCTCCTCATCATCGCCGCCCTCCTCCTGATAACTCACCCTCTTTTCACTCCTCCACGGCCTCCTCCTCCTCCTCCTCCTCCTCCTCCTCCTGATCCTCTTACTCCCTCCTCCTCCTCCTCCTCCTCCTCCTCCTCCTCCTCCTCCTCCTCCTCCTCGTCCTCTCCTTGGGCAAGTAAGCCAGAAGGCACCGATTCCGCTAATCTCTTGGCCCCCCCTGCGGTACGTTCTGGCCAGACTTCGAAGACAATCCAGCCGTGTGTCGACGAGGGTTCTCGAGGACATTTTCCTCCTCCTCCGACTCATCCCCCCTTTTCCCCCTCCTGCTCCTGCTCGTCTCCCCGACCGGGCCACCTGCGAAACGCCGCAGAACGCGCCCTCTCGGGCGGGGCTAAGACGGGAATGGATCGCTCCACAACGTTCCAGGACGCTCTCAGAGTGTTCCAGAACGCTCCGGGAAGACCGCGGCGCCAGATACGTCGTCCAGAGCAGCCAGATCGCAGGGATCCCCGCTCAATGAACGATTTTGTCCTGTCCTGGCTTCGTCCTCTCGCCCGCCCCCGCCTTCTCCGTCCTGGTCAGGGGGTGTAGTTGCGCGCTCACAGGTTGTGTCGCCGCGCCAGGAGGAGGAGGGGGATGCACGGCTGGCCCCGCTCGTGCGGGGGAGGCGTCTTCGCTGGCATTGGCTCTTCGTGCCATCCGCGGTGAGCCGTCTCACACGTGGTCAAAACAACTTGGCCGCGCAGCCTGCGCCCAGGACGGGGTGGAGGAGCCCCCGCCCCCGTCCCGCCAGGAAGGCCGCCCGCGCCATCCGTGCCAGCTGCTTCGCCTCCGCCACGTGCCTCGTGAGGCTGGCGGCGAGGAGGGCCTCAACGGGTGTGCGTGCTCGCGCGCTCGCGGGAGGAGCAGGAGGGGGATGCGCTCAACGAGTAGGGGATCGACTACAGAATTGACTTATATACTCCCAAAGACAGTTGTTCATCGGATCTACAACAAAAAGCGTAGAATGTTAGGAGATCTACGAACATTGTGGGCATTCTTCCGTAGATTCGACGACCAGAACAATTCTGGGCAAATAAATTATGTAGTCGACCCCGCATTCGAAGGAGAGGTGGCACCACCACCTGAGACGAAGCCAGGACGGGGATAACATCGGGTAAGGATAAATCAAGAATCTCTGGGATCTGGCAGCTCTGGAGGATGTCTCGGACGCGGCGGCCGTCCTATAGAGCGCTCCGGAACGTCCTGAGAGCGTTCCGGAACGCTCTGGAACGGATTTATCCTCGTCCTACGATGATGATGATGATGATGATGATGATGAGGAGGAGGAGGAGGAGGAGGAGGAGGAGGAGGAGGAGAATGATGATGATGATGATGATGATGATGATGATGATGATGATGATGATGATGATGATGATGATGATGATGATGATGATGATGATGATGATGATGATGATGATGATGATGATGATGCAGGCAGTGTCCTCCTGGCGGAGTGGTCCTCGTATTCCCTCCCCCCAGCTCGAGGAGGCACCGCGGACCCTCTCGCCGGAGGTGCCCTCCTCGCGCCCGCATGCGCAGCAGCGCCGCGCAGGCCTCGGGCAGCATCGGGTCGCGGGGGTGTCGGGACCGAGTCGGATCGGGCCGGCCAGTATCTAGATCGAATCGGACCCGCCGGATCGAACACCTGCACTGAGGGGCGGAGGACGAACACGCCCTCCTCGCCGGCGGGACAGGAGGGTACCCACAGAGAGACGGCGGAGGGCGTCCTGGTGCGAGCTCGAAGGGAGGCCGCTGCGGCATAGGCCACCGCGTGACTGGAAGCTCAGAATCAGATATGAGAAGCAGGAGAACTGCACAAGCCATCAGCTTTCGGAACTCCGCGCGGAACTCTTGGATTCGCGCTGCCCCACCCCCCCCCCCCTCCCTGGCGAGCGGCGAGCGCCCGGGGCGGCGCCAGGGGCGCCGCCACGGGGCCCCACCGAGGAGTCAAGAAGTCCGCCCAGCTCTGCCAAAATTTATGATTATGCCGTCTTCCTTCCTTCCTCTTCTTGTTCTTCTTCTTCGAAGACATCGCCATCTGCTGGGAGGGCAACTTCTCCTTCCGCCGGCTTCCGCTGCCCCTCTGCCGGCGGAGGCGGCCTCATTTCACCTCCGCCGCCCTCCCGCCGCCCCCCGCCGAGGAAGAGACGCGACCTCCTTGCATGCTCGGAGGCGAGGCTCAGAATTTAGGAGGGTCAGATTTAGGAAACGCCCGCTGGGGCTCAGAATTCGCCGGATGTCTGCGGCCCGATTAGCCCCTGGAGCTGCGGGGGTGTCCCACGTTTCAGCGCCCACTGGACCCGCCGCAGGGTTCACAGGTGGTCGCAGACAGGGCCAGCTATGCCCCCGTCCTCGTGACCCAAGACGAGGGAAACCTTGGGAGCAGACGCGTGCTTGCCGACTATGGAAGCGCCAACGATGCCCAAGAAGTGCCGCAGCCAGAGATACCCCTCGACCCACGATCCTCGAAGACCGCAAAATATCGAAGAGGAGCTCGCCCGCTCCATGTGGAGCACCCTGCTCCCGCCTGTCATGAAGGAAGCGGGCGCTGGACCTGGGGAGGCTTCCCCCGGGACAGGCTGTCCATCCTGGGCCTCCAGACATCCGACGATGTGATTCTTCAATGCGCGGCCCAAGAAGATCTCGACCCCTTCCCCAGGTGCAGTTCTTCTCTCGTTGCCTCGTGGCCAGCTGACCTCACTCAGAGGCCGAGATCGAGAAAACAGGTGGTTTGTTTTGCTCGTCGCAGCGCGGCAGAGGCACTCCGCACGCGCGCTCGAGCAGGCAGGGGCGCCCAGCACACGACGTGCCCGGCGGCAGGAGAGCGAACGGGCGGGGAGGGGCGGCCGCGCAGGACAGCGGGGGGAGGAGGGCCCGCACCGCGGGATTGCAAGAGCCCGATCGTCGGAGACCTGGGTCCTCCTCCGACTCCCCCCCCCGCCCGGGCCCCGGGAGGGCTCCCCCGGAGGCCGACAGCGGCGGCGGCCCTCCAGCGCCCCCCATCCGCCCTCGCGGGCGTCAGGCGCGGCGCGGCGGGCAGCAGGGCCCAGGGGGCAAGGGGCCAGGGGGGCGCGTGTGGTGGACGTACGTCGGCCTCGCCGCCCTGCGCCTCGCCTCGCCTGCAGGCTTCGTGGGCGAGCTCTGCCTGCCGATCGGGGCGGTCGGGGGGCCCTGGGCTGGGCAGGTCCTGCCCAAGAACCCCCAGTGACGAGTCCGTCGGACGTTTTGCCATGGGGGAATCGGACAAGCGAAACGAATCGATTCGAGCGATACCCACCAATAATCTCTGGTGGACTCAAATGTGCGCTGTTGTTGTATGTCTGCGGTGTAAGTTCTCCGTGTAAAAGGTTGACTGGTCTTTGTAAGAATGATGCCCGCTATTGAAATATGTCGCCTGTGTATGATGTGGATGAATTATGTTGGTGCCGGTTGTGGTGTACGTCCTTGGTACATGTTACGACTGTACGTGTTTGGAGTCAGGTGATGGATAATGTTAGGTGTCCCCGGTATTGGTCTGGCTTCGGTGTGCGCGGTTGGTGAATGTTCACGATGCCTACCCTGGACATATGTGGTCAAAATGTGGTCTGAATGTGTATTAGCGCTGGCGGTTACAAATGTATGTTAGTGTTAATGACGCTGTCACATGCGATCGGCGTGCGTTGCTGGTGTGTGTGTGTTTTAAAGTATGCAAAGAATGCATGAGAGTGGTGTATGCTAGTGATGCTGGCTAGTGGATTATGTGCTTGGTGCCTGTTCTTCATGCATGGTGTTGGGGAACGTTGTACCTGGTGTTGCTGATTGTTCTTGGGGTGTATCAATGGTGCCGAATGAATGTATGGTCCTGCTGTAGCTTCTTGACACATGTCGTGAGTGTATGCTCCTAATGTCGGTCCGAGCTTTCTACGTACGACTTGGTGTCGCTCGTGGGAAAGGGGCATGGGACAACATCGTTGACACATCTACGCGTGATCTGGTCATCCTCCCTCCTCCTCGGCAACCTCGTCCTTCCTACCCCCTCTCGTCCCCCCTTCCTGTACGCTCTTCATCTGCCTCCGCCGGTTCGTCTTCCTCATTGTCCGGCCGGTCCTCCTCCTGCCCGCCTCCCCCCCCCCCCTCCTGCCCCACCTCCTCGCTGCCTCTCCCCGTCCTCGTCCTCCTCCCGACCCTCCTCTCCGTCGCCCCCCGCGGCCCTCTCCCCGCCCTCGCCCTCCCCCGCCTCCGCTGGCGGAGGCCCCGCGCGCGCCGCCCGCTCCTCCCTCCCCCTCTCTCGCTCTCCGTCCCCCGCCCGCTGCCTCCTCTCCGACACCGTGGGGTCCCCTTGGGAGCCCCAGGCCCGCCGTGGTGACGGAGGGTCGGCGCACAGAGAGAGAGAACAAGAGCCAGGGCAATGCGAGGGGAGGGGTGGGAGGGGTAGAGATTACACCAGAGAGAAACCCCAACCAGTGGATTGGTTCTGAGAGGGGATCGATAAAGAGATCGATCAGGAGATCGACTGGGCACCCGGGAACTCGGGAACCCGGCACCCACCGAAACAGGCCCGGAACCACGGACCGTGAACCCAGGAACTGGGGAACCTGGGAACCCGGCCGGCCGCCAAAAACGGCGGGAAGCCTGCGCCAGATCTTTCAATCTCCGCGGGGGACCCCTTCAATGCAAGCACTGGATCCTCGCCCTGCGACATCATATCTTGAAGGGGCCCTGGGACACACAAACAAATACACACAAATCAAAAGATTCCCCGTCATTTCCAATATTTTCTGGGTTTTTTAGTCTTCCCGCCCACTTTCCATATTTTCCCATACTTTCCCCTGGGAATCGACGATTCATTGTGTCTGTGTGTTTTTGTTTCCCTCCTGATACCTGCCGGCTCTGCCCGCAGCCCTCAATGCCAGCCGGGCCGAGCAGCGAGCCGGACACGGCGGGCCCACGTCGCGGCGACGCCGACGCTGGGCTCCGACACCGCGGCGGGTCCTTCATCCTTTCGTCCCTGAACAATCGCGGCTCTCCGACGGCGCAGGAGACCGGCGGCTTTTTTTTTTTCGATCCAGCGATGATTGCCAGCCTCGGACTCATCCCTGCCCCTGAGATGGGCACGCCAGAAGGCGATGACAATCTCAGGGATGAGCGCCTCAAAAGATGAGGGAGTCCCTAAGATTGGCATCGTGCTGAGGAGATGCCCAGCATAGGGACAGGGATATGCTCCAGGCTGGCAAGATAATCCAAATCGTCGGGCCCGCCCGCCCCCCGCCCGCCTTCCCTGGAAAGCCCGGCCTTGTCGGCTGTGCAGGTCCGAGAGGGGTGCGCGGTACTGATGCTCGCGGGCATGCGTGGGGCTGCCCGCGGAGCGAACAAAAACAAGTTCTCGGCCGTCACCTCCGACCCCCCCCCACCGGATGACCCGGGCCATCGCCGTGATAACAACAAAATCTCCTCGCGGTATTAAATATTGAAAGCCCGTGCGAGCGAGGCGCGGCGCGAAGGCTGCCGTGGCAGGAGGCTGTGCGAGACGGCTTGCAACGGCGGCGCGCCTGAAAGTCCCGCTCGCGGCTGAAGTCCGCCGGGGCGCCACAACTGCGCGCGCGCGCGATCGCTCGGGGGTGGACGTGGGCGCTCGCGAGCTCCGTGCGAGGTCGGTGCCCCGTTTGCAGCTCAAGCCGTTGCGGAATCGGACACCGAGGCATCGCTCGACGGCGTGGAGGGGAGGAAAGGGGAGGATGAGGAAGAGGAAATAGTGCGGGCAAGATGTGTATCCGTATGCACTGCATCTTGGAGTTTCGGGCTCCCTTCCACAGACACTCGAGGTACACTGGATATGAAAAGAATCTGGTCCAAAATGGCCAGATTTTTATGAATGTGCAATGGGCCTCGGCCTTTGTGCGCCCCTTCCCAGAAAGTCCAAGACGCAGTGGATATGGATACGAATCATCCCCGCAAAGGGAGGAGGCGGCGGCGGAGGAGAGAAAGGGGTTTTAGCGGAGGGGAGACGGCGGCGGCAACGCATGCAGGAGTGCAGAGGTGCAGAGCTCAAATGATCACCTGGTGAATGCTGCACAGATGCTCAGAGCTCGGATTTTCAACCGATCGTCGGCAAATATCGTGAGGCCCCCAGAACCGCTCCTGACGCCCAGCTCCTCCTCCTCCTCCTCCTCCTCCTCCTCCTCCTCCTCCTCCTCCTCCTCCTCCTCCTCCTCCTCCTCCTCCTCCCTCTCTGCCTTTGCCATTTTGCCGTCCTGTCCGTCCAGCTCGCTCTGTCCGTCATTCGCGCCCTTGTCCTCGTCGTTTGTCCAACGGTGTGGCGCAATTTGACAGCGAACTGCCACTGCCGTGACCATGGCACTGCCAAGGTATGGCTGAGAGAGGGGCCCTCGACCGCATCCCAGGTCCTGCATCGAGTGGACAGGAAGGCGGTGCGGCCATGAAGTGTCCCTCACGGACACCTCGGCGGTGAGCCTGAGGACACAGGTGTGGCCAGGGAGCTGCTTGCCCAGAAACGGAGGTGTGCACGCCACGGGCGAGGTCTGATACTGCATGGCGCCAGCCATGCGAAGGGAATGCTGGGCACAGTTGACCTCCGCTTGTCCAGCCCTGTCAGGACAGGGCGCAAGGAGAGTGTCTCTGTTGAGAGCTGCACACGCCCGAAACCATAAGCACAAGTTCAGGAGAAAAGACCCATCCACATTCGCGTCAGTGTAGCTCGCCTGCAGGACCACATTCGGAGCAGAGCCCGCCTACAGCTGGATCGCGCGATGCGCCACGATGAAAGCCCAAACCAGAGGTCCTGGCGAGTTCGATCCCAGAGGGGCTCCGAAGGGGACGCACAGGCTGCTGCACAGCACGACCAGCAAGACTTCAGCGAGGTGGCCACACGTGCGCCACTCGCGAGCAGGAAGCGCAAGACAGGCGCGACGCCCATGGGGGCTGGAGGCCTGGCGTCGACGTCGCTCCAGACAGCGTTTGCGCTTGGTGCCCAGCAGGCGGAGAAGGGGAGAAGGGAGAGAACAGAAGGAAGGTGGAGGAGGGAGGGAAACTAATATTGAGGAGGGAGAAGAGGAAGAGGAAGAAGGGGGGGGACGAGAAGGCTGAAGAAGCAGAGTCTGCGGAGGATGGGGGGAGGGGCAGAGGAGGAGGAGAGGAAGAAGAGGGAGTAGTGGAAGGAGGCTGAAGAGTCAGGCAGCTGGCAAGACTGCATTGTACGGTGACCAGCAGGACAACATCAGGTCAAAGCGAAGCCGCACCGAAGCACGGAACCAACTGAAAAGGACGACCAGCGCTGCAGCCTCCCCCGAAGCACAGCGCCCAGGGAGCTCTAGAAGAACATATGCGCCCAATTACGTACACGAATATGTTTCCACGTGCGCTCTCGTAATGCGATCTCTCGGAAACCATGTGATTTCATGGATGCATACGTCCGCATTTCGCTCCTGACTGCGCCCCCCCAGAGCGGCAACAAGAAACGTCGGGTGTGCACACTCATGCCGTGCTGAACGTGGGCGCGCTTCGACACTCCCCCCGAACTCGCCACGGTCACCGACAAGGTAGAGGGCGGCGGTGGCCGACGAAATTGAGGGCTAGCCCGATCGAAGCTCAGAGCCCTGGCGGCTGCGCAAGGCAAGTAAAACCTAAGGACGACGATGAAAGGCGATAAGGCAAGACAGATCAGGAGAATGGGGAGGAGAAGGAGATGGAGGAGGAGTGCCAAAATAAACTAAACATGTACAAGCGATGCTGCAATACACCCTCCCGTGCCAACTCCCCTTCTCACGAGCCCCTGCGAGTCTTCCTTTTCACTACAAGAAGCACCCCCCTGAACGACAAACGCAATTGGTCGTGCCGTTATGGCTAGAGACACGCTTTGAAAATGAAATGCCATGCAGTCTTCTGGTGCGCAATCGGGAACGCGAGAAACAGGGATCATACAATTCAGCGAGGCGTGAAGCGGTCGCAAGATCAAGGGGCCACTGTGCGCGGCATACGGGGAGAACCACGTTTTGAAAACTACCCCCCTCCATCCGTGGAGTTGCTACAGCTTCCCCCCACACACACTGCTTGCGCGTGTGGATGTCTACCTTGGGTGTTCCTCCTCCTCCCAGGAACGTGGCCTGTCTGTCGGTTTGGAGGATATGTTGCCGCCGTCGCCGCCCTGTCGCCGCCCGGCGTTGGGGCGTGCCTGCCGGCCGTCGCCGCCCCGTCGCCGCCCCGCCGCCACCCGCTGCATGGGTGTGCCGGTCGGTCTGGCGGCTATGCTGTCGCCGTCGCCGCCCCGCCGCCGCCCCGCCGCCGCCTCGTCGCCGCCTCGTCGTCTGGGCCTGTCTGTCGGTCTGTCGTCGGCGCCGCCCCGTCGTCGCCCTAGACTGCACAACGCAGATTGCACCACACAGGTTGCACGACGAATATTGCACAACTCAGATTGCACGACATATGTGGCACCACGCCGATTGCACCACAGACCTTGCGCCACGTATGTTGCCCCACACAAACTGCGCAACACGTGATGCACAACATAGTTTGCACTACGTAGATTCCACAACATATATTGCACTACATCGACTGCACCAGACAATTTGTTCCACAACGATTGCACCACATAGATTGCACAACATTTACTGCACCACGGTAGCGACGCGTGGGTGCACATGTTTCCGCTTTGGTCCGCTGTCGTTGGTCGCATGACGGCACGTACTCTTTGTATCGCATTGCGTCCAACATCGCAGGGTGGCGAGCCGTCGCCAATCCCTAGCCTGAAGGACATCTGCCCAGAAGTCTTGGGCATCGCGTCTGTGTTCCGGACAAAGTACTCCAGATCACACTGTCAACATCCCCCCTAAGTTTGAACACGCGCTTTCCAAAACATCGGATCTACATCATATTCGGCGTTCATGATTGGGAGACGGACCTCCTGTCAAGAATCGGACGGCTCACGCGTGTCCTGATCTGAAAGGCCATCAAGCTTGTCAAGGATGAACCCCACCCCCCGGAGACCAAGGAACCTCATAGCCGATGCCTTGAAGAGGTACAGGAGGAGGATCTCCGTCTGATCCACTCATTGTCTCCGGAGGAATGGACATTCGTGTCCTACGTTGGCAGATCAGGCTGGCAAACATATTGCAACCTCCCCGTCGCCAGATACGATCACGTCAACGGTTGTTCCTTGCCGTTCCGGGTGTTCGCATCTGGGATCACTACCTGCCAGACCACCCCAAACCAACCCGAAGACCCGAATTTCGGGTTGGGGGGGGTACGGGTTCCACGCGTGTTTTCTCGATGTTTCCCGACCCCCCCCTACTAGAAATCGAGGGTAAATCTGAGCCTTCGGGTTGGGTTGGGGTGGTTTGGTGGGTGGTGAGGATCAGCACTAGCTTCCGCGTGCGCGCCCTCGTCTCCAATGGGAATGCCGGCGCCCTGCTCGTCTCTTGTGCGCTCTGCGCCGCGGCGGGAGAGTCGGCGAGCCCCCCGCCGGCCACGGGCAGGCACACATCAGAGTCCCTCTCCTCCTCCTCCTCCCCCTCCTCCTCCTCCCCCTCCTCCTCCCTCCTCCTCCTCCTCCTCCTCCTCCTCCTCCTCCTCCTCCTCCTCCTCCTCCTCCTCCTCCTCCTCCTCCTCCTCCTCCTCCTCCTCCTCCTCCTCCTCCTCCTCCTCTCCTCCTCCTCCTCCTCCTCCTCCTCCTCCTCCTCCTCCTCCTCCTCCTCCTCCTCCTCCTCCTCCTCCTCCTCCTCCTCCTCCTCCTCCTCCTCCCTCCTCCCCCGCCTCTCCTCCTCCTCCTCCTCCTCCTCCTCCTCCTCCTCCTCCTCCTCCTCCTCCTCCTCCTCCTCTCACCCGGTGGGCCTCGACATCGTGGACACTGCAATCCTGGGGCCAGATTCGTCCGCCGCTGAACGGAGGTCCATTCAAAAGCCATGTCGGCCCGCGTCGCCAAACCCTTCGCTGTCGCTTGCATGTGCTGCGCCTAGGACCGATATCAGACGCTCCAACCGAGTCGGAGGCATGGCCCTTGAATGGTTCGCCATGACCGACGCCCCCCATGAGCAAAGGGTCCCCGCCCGAAGCCGAGACGGCCATTAGATCAGCAGCGAGCGAGCAGGCCTCTCGCCAACAGGCATGGGATAGCCCGCTCTGCATAAGCAAAGCTTTCGTGCCCTCGATGACTCGTCGAACAACAAAGTCGGCGACGCCGTTGCTCGGAGGGCGGGTGGGGATCGGAGCATCATGGCGCAGCTTCATGAGCTTGCACGCCTTCTCGATCTCCCCATGGCTGGCAGCAAACATCAGTTTAGCGAGATGGGATCGTACGCTTCTGCATGCCTCGCAGCGCTTCACCATATTCAACGCTTCATCATATTTGTTGTGCGATGCGGGATGGCATGCTACATCTCCTGTCCCCCGATCGTAGACGACGAGGCATGCTGTGATCCCGTGTCGCGACGAATCGTGCTCGCCAGCCAGAATAACTGGCTCACGGTACTAATATCCCCGAACTCTTCGGGTCATCGTCTCCCGCGCATGCCCCGATTCCACGTTTCTCTTTATCATGTAAGGATGATCGCCGACGCTGTGTAGCCTGAGCCTTAGCGCGC